CGTTTCTATAGGTTTGACCTTGACATCTTCATCATCACTTAATATACCATGTTTTAGCTCAAACCCATTGCACTAGTGGCAAACACCTGGGTGTTACACACCGCTCATGATGTCACCTCCATCCTCCCTCGACTCAAGCTCATGCAGGAGCGCACCATGGCCGACTCTCCCCCCACCCAAACTGATTCCCTCGCCCTTAATGCTTAGCTACATTTACTCCACACCCATGCAACCAACAAATAATGCAAATTAAAGGCGCTTAGTGGCCACTCCCACCCTCTAAACCCGTCGTCAATCGCCTATATCCCCCTTCACAACAAGACACTCCACACTCAACGCTAATTTCCCGCATAAGCCCCCTATTCAAATGCCAACCTATTTCAACATTTTAAGAAAAAGCCTGAGAGTAGTGCTACAAGCTAGAGACTATCGAAGAAAACATCAAATAGGATCAGGAGTACATTGTCAGAAGCAAGAAGCTGACACTCTCAAGATATGCTTAGATGAAGATGAGCTCATCATGACCATCTTTGCTATCCTAATTCCTACTATGGTGGCATCAATCATATTGTATATCATTGTAATGAACCTGCTACCCTATGAGAGGCCCTGAGATAGTTATATGCTTGCTACCACCGTGTCCTCCCATACTTTGATGGTAATGGGAATAAGGAAAAGAAAACATCTTAGAAGATCAATATAGGTGACGGCTTTCCTTCTTCAGAAGGACATTTTTCATCGAGAAGGTGCTTTTCCAGTCTTGCTGCCCCCAATAATACTTGTTAGCCTGTATGTGTATCCTATGTAATCTTATCATTGTTTCAGAATAACTATTTTAATATTTTCTTTTGTGCTTGTGTCTCTGATATTTACACAATACACAATTCCTTGAATTTGTCACAAGATAGCTCTGAGATTCCTAGAATGCTGCTGCACATGTAAAAGTGATAAATACTTATAGTGATGCCCTATTGGCCGTCGCAAACTTAGTGATGCCTATCACTTATCTGTATTAACCTTTTTTGTAACAATTTTTATCCAAGTTAAATAGTAAAAAACAAATATAAAACAAAAGGTTTTGGTAACCCACTTGAGTCAGCCAATTATTCAGTGGTTTGTGTGAGGCTTATTTTCATACCCTTTGTCAGACAGTGAGAAGTTCTAAATTATGAACTCATTTGGATAGAACAAAGTTATATGTTCAATTAGGACCACAAAGAACTTATACACCTTCCAAATTTACACTTAAATTTATACAGCTTCCAATCTATACGGCGGAGCATATATTTCTTTCTCGAACACGCATGAGAGTTGCGTATCATTTCATTAAAAGGAAAAGAAAGAGTAATGCAGTACCAAAGCCAACACTTCTACTCAACCCAATACAGGGTTACGCACTATATAGAATACTAACTCACCAAGGTAGGGTTAGGAATTAAAGCCAAATATTAGGCAGCAACAAATATGAAAATACCAAACAAACAAAATACATGAGGGTAGATCCACCTGAATGCTATAACTGAATGATATTGTCTTTGTTTAATGCTACGACGGGCAAAGCCTTAAAACTCTAAAAAAGACATGAGGGTAACATTGGGTGTAAATTGTAATATACATGCACAATACAGTTACATACTGGGGGAAAAATGATTTAAAATGAATGTCATCTGTATTCATAATGGTACAGTATAGCTAGGCAGTAACACCGATGATGTAATTAGTGTTTAGTAGGTACAAAGTTACATATTTCACATAGATCCAACAGACAGCTACCGTTACTGAAATTTCGCAAATTAAATGTGATTTTCTATGTCACACTTTCATATTTGAATGCAAGCAACTCCCTAGGAACTCAAGCGAACTGTTGAGGAAGTGTCATGTACTGGCTTCTGCATCAAGTGTACTTCTGACTCCATTTTGAAATGAGATTGGCTTGATACCAAGAATCTAGGTTACCTTGGTGATGTCCATGGATATGTCTGGTGGAGAAGCTACCCCTCGATTAACCTGAGCAGCATGTAGATGCGGGCATTACAAGGTATTATGATGTAAAAATAAGCATATGGAAGCAAAATGTTTAAAGGGACCTCAATGCTGAAACTCAACGGCAGAACCACTATTGGCTGCAGCCAAGAAAAGTCACCAAACATGAAAGTAGGAACCAAAAGGAGAGTTTTACTGTACAAAACATGGAAGTTGAGATTTGTAGTGGCACTGGGGGAAAGTTAGACCTAGGTTACATATGGACGAACCAAAAAAGAAAATTTTCCACCTTTCAGGTATGGCTCTGTTTTCCATATGACCATATGTACAATACAACTGATTGGTAACGGATTTGCATTGCAGATCAAAACTTTAAAACGAGATTTCTTGATCTTCCCTTGTAACATAATGATTCAGGGATGGTAATTGACAGCAAACTCCTGTCAGAGTGAAATAAAACCTCAGGCACGTTTGATAAGTCCTCTTACTTTGCATATTTTCTTCTTGAAACAAATGGACCGAAGGAAGCCCAAGAAAGGAAGATAAGCTGGATGGTGCGGCCTTAGTTTATGTCTTTGCTTTTCTGCAAAACCAATAATAATTTAGACTTGTTTAGAAGATAGATATAATATCAACTTCTTTTTTGTTTTCAACAGAATCAAATCCTTTTCACGAAGCAGGCATAATTCTTCAATATAAATTAGACGCTTACTATTAATTTGCAGTGCCCATCATATATCAACTATGGAACCAACACAATACCAGGATTGCAAGCATAGGCCAAGATGCTTGAATCAGTCATCTAGTAAAAAGAGAGCGTAGGCTAGCCTAATTTCATTGAGCAAACTTTCCCATTCATAAATCATTTTCTCAGTGGCCTAGTGAGAAGTAGATAGCTTTTAATGAACTAAGAACAGACCAAAAAGAACTTACTGGTTCTAAAATGTCCAAGATACGCACATTATATGATCACGACACATCTGTTGCAAGATATGCACATTTGAGATAAGTCAGTTCAAGAAAAGGGGAAAATAACGGAATAAGGAGCTATCATAATCAACAGCCAAATACTATCATTGACTAATATTCTCATCACTGCAATTTCTAAGATGATTTAAACATTTCACATAGATGTACATGATTGATATAACGCAAGGGAGGACTTGCTGGTTCCCAGTTCAAGACACAGGAGTGAACATCTAAGAAGACGGAGGACCTCTCACACTAGCAGAAGACCATAATTTATTACCACTTGCACTCACAGATGATGAACACCTAAGAAGACGGAGTCACAGAGAAGTACCTGCAACTCTCGACGAGCAGCACTGAGATCCGGCGAGGGGAACGCCGCACGGCCTGGGGTGGGGCAGCGAGCGTGGCTCCACATGGCCTCACGAGGGCCGCCGCCGCGTGGCCGGGGCTGGGGCGGCGAGCTTGACTCCGGGCTGCCAAGCGAGGCTTCCATGGAGTGGACAGCGAGATCCGCAGTGGCAAAAACTCTAGTCGGCCGGATCAGAGCAGGATACGACGCCATGGATCCCGCTGCCCTCAACCAAGTTGTCGTAGATCCCGCCCCCCTCGACCGAGCTGCCATAGATCTGCCCCCCCTCGACCGAGCCCATCCTGGCGACACAAATGGAGGTGCCCATGCCGGGATCCAGAAGCAGCCACCACTGGGATCTAGCCGCCACCGCTGGGATCCACCCGCCACCACCGCCGTCACCCACGCCGGGATCCCGCCGCCCAACGCCCTTCGCTGCCGCTTGTGGCTGTGGATTTGAGAAGAGGAAGGAAATGAGAGGAAAGAGGAAGACAGAGAGCGAGGAGAAAGGGAGAGGAGACAGGAGGGAGCGGCGTCGGCGGGCTGGCAGGCCGGCAGGCCAGCGGCGGCGACGAGACAGATGGGGAAGACGAGGGATACCCGGGACACGAGAGAGTGATTGGCATCGCGGGGATCCGGCCATGCTGGGGCCCCTGGGCGCGCCGGCAGGATGGACGCCGGTGCTGGCGAGGAAGACGAAGACAAAGCTAGGCCTCCCGAGCGTGGGGGGTCGTCCGCAGGCGCAGCAAGGGTGGAGAATCGGAGCTGGAGCGGGCGCAGCGTGGGCACAAGCGATGGAGAAGGGGGCCGCTGTGGGAGGAGGAGGAGAGACGACAGGCGGCTGCGGCGGTGACAGGGTCATGGAGCTCGTCGGGGCTAGGGTTGTAGGGGGAAGGAGGGAGGAGAGGAGGGGGAGGCCGGCGGGGGAGGGACCGGTGCCGGCGACGAGGTAGAGCTCATCTGGCTAGGGTTGGAGGTAGAGCTCGTATGGCTAGGGTTGGAGGTGGCGGGGTCGCGTGCGACTGAGAAGATGGGGACGGGATGAGGACTGGAGATGGGACGGGATGGGGCTAGGGTGCTGCATGAGCGCACCTGCACACACAAATCGACAAGTCAAAGCTAGCAAGGCCCCAGCAGCATGTATGCACGCGTACTTGCATGCGTGCCGACCACCATGTTAATTAGGCACCGACCATGCATGTCGAGAATCCACCTTTCCCTGCTACGCGCCACCGTCCATTTACGTGCCGTGTATAATCACCAGGAAGCCCTACTTCATTGAATGCGTTCAGTTGCTTGATCTATCTGCCGCCGAATACACGGAGGAAGACCGGTTGTGACGCGCCTCATCTGAGCCGTAAAATTTCTATCTAACGTACCAACTGAAAAGAACGTATATGAACACTCTTGGAGGCCCCCGTTTCGGCGCGCCATTTATCTTTAATGAGGTCACTACACCACTGTAATAACAGGTGACCCGGGTTCAAATCCCGGCAAATGGAATCAGTATTTGTTTGTTCCCTTTTCTTTTCTTACGCGCCTTTTTTTGTTTTTTGTTTTTTGCTATCTTGACCCTGACCGTCCATTCAGTGATCGGACGGCGACGCTGTCCCCACCGTAGGGTTCAACGACCCATCCCCAAGTCCCCAACCCCAGCAACGCATCCCTTTCCCGCCTGCGCACGCCGCCGCCGGCGATGGCCGCCTCCGCCGACGACGTCGCCCCGTCAACCGCCTCCGCCTACCTCGACCCCTCCTACTGGTTCGCTTTCCCTCCCTTCTCTTCTTCACCCTACCCCATCCCGACCGAGCAGAAGCAGCAGGCAATCTGACTGACTCTGACGCGACAATGGACGACGGCCTGGCCGTGCGGCCGCCGCTCGCAGGGACGCGCGGTTCGGGAAGGAGGCGTACTACGAGTGGTTCAAGGACTTCTCCCACTTCCGCCACCTCCTCGCGCCGCTCCTCTCCCCGTCCCTCTCGGTGCGTTCCCTTCCCTTGCCCTCTCCCTCCTCCTCCTCCTTTTGCCCCCAATCCTATCCTGTCGCGCAGCGTCAGTGGTAAAGAGGAGCTCTGTTTGCGTGGGTGTAGGTCCTCGAGGTCGGGTGCGGCAACTCGCGGCTCGGGGAGGAGCTCCTGCGGGAGGGCGTCGCCGGCGGCATCACCTGCGTCGACCTGTCCCCCGTCGCCGTCCAGCGGATGCGCGACCGCCTCGCCGCTCAGGGCACCAAAGGTATATTTACTGGCCTTTCCTCACCAGTAGAAGAGGCCCAGCACCATTTGGGTTGAGATTTTGGTCCTTTCTTCTTGAAGGCGTGGATGTTGTGGTGGCGGACATGCTCGATCTGCCGTTTGAGCAAGAGAGCTTTGACCTTGTGATTGAGAAGGGCACCATGGTATGGAATGTTCATGAGCTTCTTCCGTTCTGTGTATTGCAAGTAATTCTTGCACAATTGCGCAAATACTGATTAAAATGGATGAGCATTTAATCTAGAACCTGAAGGATAATTGGCGGTTAAGCATCTAATGTGTGCCCATAGTGCCTTGAAGTCATATAACTACTACAGACTGGACAGAAAGGCAATCCCATGACCTCAGTTTGAGGGGTACATGTCGAGGTTTGGCCGATGCTTTAGTGTGCTAACCATATTACCGTGTATTGGAAGATAACCAGACAGCTATTTTTAGCACCATTGTTCACACGTTAACAAGAACAAGAGAGGCTCGTGCAAAATCTCAACATGTACTGCCCGGTTAAAAATTAAAACTTGAAGGATGGCTTGTTGTCTAGCGTTGAAATGAACTGATTCGTCTTTAGATGCAATACATCCATTTTACAACTTTTATTTAACAATAGTACAACAATATGTTGGAGTTGCGAAATGGTTTCAAAGCAGAACTTCTGCTGAAGTAAAATATATTCAGACAGGGAAGAGGACCTGGTCTGACATTCATGTCATCAATTAATCATCATTGGAAACAACCCACAACATGATGTATTCCATTCATTCTAATGGTTAGCGCTATTATTTTACATGATGTTGTATGTTACACTTAACAAAAGACCATCCTTTTGTACAGGATGTGTTGTTTGTGGACAGTGGCGATCCATGGGACCCCAATCCTACAACAGTGGATAACGTGATGAAAATGCTTAAATGTATCCACAGGGTTTTGAAGCCAGAAGGCGTCTTTGTATCAATTACCTTTGGACAGGTTAGGGAGATTTACCAACAATCTTCTGTGTCAGTCTTCTTTTGGTTTTTCCACCTTTCGGTTTGGTCTGAAGATATTTCATCTACCTATTTACAGTATATAAATGTGCGCATTACATAGGAATGGGGTTTCTTTTTGAATGAAACCACTTTTCTCGTAGAACTATGTGTTACCGCACCATTGCTACTGGAAGATGATATTGTGAAATAGTTAAAGACTGTCTTTCCTATAGGATTAAATAAATAAGTAAAGATGCAAAAGAGGATCTGAACTGAAGGCGGAATTGATGTCTTATTCTTTTTTATCTATTAATCTTCTGTTCTCAATGAAGTACTACTTTTCATATGTCAGCCACACTTTCGACGGCGATTTTTTGAAGCCCCTGAGTTTACATGGTCTGTTGAGTACAGTACCTTTGGCGATGGCTTCAATTATTTCTTCTACACTCTTATGAAGGTTAATTATGTTCACTTCTATTGAACTCACTTGAGCCTATCAGTTTAGCTTGAATATTTACCTCATACAAATTAAGATTCTTCCATTATACAAGTTTTTTTATTGCTGCAACTAGTTTCCCCTAGTGAAAAGCTATCATCTTAATTATTTGCCTTTTCTTAATCTCTAGGGCAAGAGATCACTGGAATCCAGCAGTTACCAAAATATACTACCTGCTGCTCCAAGAATAAATATGGTCCACGAAGAGCTCGAGAGCGAGGATTTTATATTCCTCACAAACCTTGATGAGCCATGAGCCGTGAGTGGCAGCTTAACAAGCAACTGAGCTAACACATCAAAAGGGAGACCAGTCCAGCGTTGGTGATCCCGCGCCCCGCGGTGATGTTTTTTTTCTTTTTCTGGGCAGCAAATGGGAATGATGCCTGTAAAATGTGTGATTTAGGATAGAATTAAATTTTGAGCATTTTTGTCTAGTAATGCTATAATATAATACTGCAGTCTAGAAATTTATGTATGATCTTGTTTAAACATTATGACTTCCCTTTTGAAACCTATTGTTTCGACTTCTGGACATATGGAATGAAATTGCATTATTTCTGCTGTTATGTGAAATCCATAAATCAGAGTACTTGTTAACTCGGCCATTCCTTTTCTTTTTCAAAGTTCATGTTGTTTTTTTATTTTTCAATAATTAATTCATGATGTTGTTAGACGCTGAACTCTCACCCTTTTTTTTTGAGGAAAAGCTGAACTTTCACCTAACTCCAGCCTTTAATTTAGTGTTACAAACTAAATAAAGATGAAAATTTGAAGCTGGCCCGGTAGGATTGGGCGCCTGCTCCGGGTGCTGGCTGGCCCGTCCTAGAGGGCGTGCCGGGGCCGTACCTGGCCCGGTAGGATTGGGCTGTGCTTTACGGGCCTGTGCCGAGCCGGGCCGGGCAGCCCATATTCCTTCTATACGACTCACCTACGACTACGACAGCAGGTCAGCACACAGAAAAGCCAAACCCGACCTCCGTGTCGCCGGCGCCCGGTGGGATGGCTTCGTCGGCGGCGTACCCTGACGCGGACGAGAACCTGGAGGCCATCATCACCCGCATCGAGCAGAAGTCCCGAAAGATCGAGACCCTCCTTAAGCAGTACGCCCCTCTTTCCCTCTCCTCTCGACCCTCTCCACCCCTCACCTGCTTTTGATTCGCCCGCTCATTCCTCCGCGGCGTGGGGGCAGGTCGAAGCCGGTGGAGGCCCTGAAGACGGCGCTCGAGGGGTCGCCGCTCAAGACCCTCGACGAGCGATGCAAGGTTCGTTCGGTCTTGATATGGCTCGTCTCGTTTCTTCCGTGGATTCGATCTGGGTTTCTTGGATTGTTCATTCATGTCGGTTGCGCGCAGTCGGCGAACTGGATCGTGGTGCACCGCGCGATGATGGCGATCAGGGACGTCGACGGCATGTTCAACTCCCTCGATCCCGAGTACTACGATATCCTCATGAAGTAAGAGATACCACGTCTCCCCTGCTCCTCCCTTTCCATCACTTCCTTCCCAGATCCATATTTACTGGTCAGAGAAGGTCAGTGGTTTGCAATTCGAGTCCTGGCAATCACCAATTCCTAGTTGAGATTCCAGAAGTAGATATCAATCACTGTATTATAAATTTTGTTGCATTGATCCACGGTGATTGTGTAATAATGGTATTGCTACAAAACTTTAGTTTTTTATTTGACATCAGTTTTGTGCCACGGGCGACCATTGATGATTAGAACAGTTATGCTGTACCTAACATTGGTGATTTTCATTCTATCATGGTTGTTATGATTTGTCGTGCTGCTGTGTAGCTGGTTGGGATTTTTTTAGGAAATTTTGTTTTGCTGCTGGAGTCTAGATGTTGCTTAATTGTGTGTTAATTATTGGGAAAATGCATGAGAGAAAACACACAATGGAATTGGATTATACCATTACTTTTTGTGGTCAAGATGATAGAACATTTCGATTATTTTATGGGACTGTACAACTTCCAGTAAAAAATGAGTGCATTCTAGAGTGCATGCAGTCAATCTATTTTATCCTTGGTAACAGTATCTTTATGTTTGTTTGGATCGACCATATGATTAGCAGTTCAGTGTAAAAAAATATTATAATTCCATTGGCCGTACAAGTAATTTCGAATAGGAATTGCTGATCAAAGTAATGCTTTGGATTGGATGACACACCGTTTTGTGAAAACTGTTCTATAAACTTCAGTGTACCATTGACAAAATGACAATGAGTTTTGAGTTGTATGACTCAATACCTGAACAAGCTCTGTTCTGTAAACTACAGTGTACTATTGATAAAATGAAAATGAGTTGTATGACTCAATACCTGTACAAGCTTTGGATAGTATGGGATGCAGTTGGATGTGTGCATTTCTTGTTTAATATTGCTGTACATGATCGAATGAACATATGTGTATGCTGTTCAAGATTCCTACGCTTGTCCACTTTATCACATCATCCTTATCTCGGTTTCACATTATTAAAGGTTGCTGTCATGCTGTGCCACTCACCTTAGAACTGTGGTAAAATTAAGTTAGCTGTACATCATTTTACTCACATGTATCTCATTATTTCTGTCTTGGAATTGTTACCTTCTATGATTCCTTTTATGCTAATCTGAAGATTATTTATCTCTAAATATCAATGTGATGCAGGTACCTTTATAGAGGTCTATCTACAGGGGATAGGCCAACATGTGACCAGTGCCTCAAAATTCATGAAAAACTGACTGAGAAGGCAGGCCTAGGCTGTATATTGCGGTCCCTTGCTGATACTGTAAACACTGTATGAGCTTTGTCTCTGCTGCTGAGGGTGGATATAACAAAGTTCTCTTCCTGCTCTTTACTGTGATAAATTACATCAGGCAAACCAGCTGTAATTTTGAACTAGATGTTCTGCATTATCTCTTTCTTTGCCATTAGGCAATTTCGGTTAGAGCATCATTGTACTTTACTAGAATGGCCGAACTCTATTAAAATTGAAGCGATTTCTGTACCATCAGAGCTGAAGATGTCTTCTGACACCAATCATTACGCTTCCAACTTATAGTTATTTTTTTAAAAGGACGGCAAAATATTTGCCGCTATTTTTATTAGACGGATAAAAAGAAAAACTTATAGTTATGTTCAAGAAAATTACAATTATAGGACACCAAACAATGCGCTTCACAATTATATGACTCCAATCATCGACTTCCTTAAAATGACCCTTGAAATGTTGGCTTCTTATTTTAGATGATATTTGGTGTATTTCTTTACTTTGTTAATCAAAATATATGTATTTTGGCCCTCTTATGACCCTTCTACCCTTCTGCTTTTATATCGTTGATCGATCGTACCAATTCATCTACTCGACGTTCCTCCTTCCCTCCGAGACCAACGCCGCCCTAAGCACCGACGACGCCGTTCCTCCTTCCCCTCCTCCTGCCGCCGCCGTACCCTTCCCTTCCTCGACTCCCATGGATGGATCGCTGCCCAAAGATGATGATGGCCGCCCTATCGCCATGGAGGGCCAAGTAGCCGCAGCCCTGGCGGCCTCTGGCCTTGCCGCGTGTGGTGAGGGCCTGGCTGCGCCGGCCGTGACGGCTGATGGAGGTGTTTCGCCGGCAGTGGAGGCCTCTCCCGACGCCATGTCCAGTGCTCTAGCCCTAGCCAGAACGTTGCTGCCCACTGTTCCTCTACCAACAGTAGAGTACAACCTTCCTATTCTTGAAGTGCAAAGGTATTGACCTTTATGCTTTCTTTTTTTACCACGATAGTAGTAGACAGTATTTAAACTTGATATCACTTATTTAGGTCCCAAGTAGATCATGTGAAAATATGGAAATATTTGATTGGGATAGCATACAGATAGTGGAGACACATGATGACGAAGGTCGTATTGCACTTATGAGTGAGAATCAGATTTGTGAGCTTTTATGCTTGATAGAGGAGGACACAACAATATACCTGCACAGGGCTTTGATTGCCGAATGGATGAACAGGGGCATGATAATGAGCTTGGGCAAGATAATGATGGTGCTGCCATTCCTACTAGTGATGCCATACCAGGTGAAATGGTCATTTCATATGATAAGAACAATCCATCCATGGATTTAGGAATAGTGTACCCCAACAATGGAGGAGTTCAAGATGGCAGTGCGGCAATTTGCCATCAATAAGGAGTTTGATTTAGGAATAGAGAAGTCATGTAAGACGAGATATAGGGCTTATTGCAAGTCTGGTGATGAAGATTGCCCTTGCCCTTGGAGGATAAATGGCACCAAACATAAAGGCCAAAGCACCGTGGAGGTGAATAAATTTCTTTTTCCTTTCATTAATTCTACTTTTCATGTAAATTAATATGAATCTCATTGATTTTTTGTTTTGTAGGTAACCGTCTTAGTCGATAAACATACATGTGTGTCTAGCATGAAGCAGATAACTACAACTCCAAATTTGAAGTGGGTAGCTAGCAAGGCTGTGAGTATCCTTAGAGATGATCCAAATATTGGTGCTAAGGAATTGCAAAAGAAGTTGCAGACAGATCACAAGTGTCAAATTGCATATGACACTGTATGGTGGGGTAAAGAAAGAGCTCTTGATGAGGTTTATGGCAAATGGGAAGAGAGTTTTGAGCTGTTGTTTAGGTGGAAGGCCGAGGTAATGAAGCGGTGCCCCGGGAGTATCGTTGAAATTGAGGTACTTGAGGTGGATGGTCAAGTATAATTCCACCGTTTTTTCTGTGCTCATAAACCATGCATTGATGGTTTCTTGGAAGGTTGTAGGCCTCATTTGAGCATAGATGCTACAACACTTAATGGAAGGTGGAATGGTCACTTGGCCGCACCTATAGCAGTTGATGGTCATAATTGGATGTATCCACTCGCTTATGGCTTCATAGCTTCTGAAACAACAGACAACTAGACTTGGTTCATGGAGCAATTAAAGAAGGCAATAGGTGATCCTCCACTCCTTGCTGTTTGTTCTGATGCTTGCAAGGGCTTAGAGAATACAGTGAAGAATGTATTTCCAAATGCAGAGCAAAGAGAATGCTTTTATCATCTTGTCAAAAATTTCCAGAAGAGATTTAGAGGGTTTGGACAGATATATTCTGTGGCAAGGGCTTACAGAGAAGACATATTCTATGACAATATAGCAAAAATGGAAAGTGAATCAGCAGAAGCAGTGAAATGGTTACAGACCAATCATAAGCTATTATGGTATAGGTGTGTTTTCAATCCATAAATTAAGTGTGACTACATAACTAGTAATATTGCTGAGTCATTTAATAACTGGATTAGAGACCATAAAGACTTAGTTGTTGCTGACCTTGCTGATAAGATTAGAGAAATGATCATGGTACTTTGGAAGAAGAGAAGAAATATTGCATACAGGCTACCTGAAGGCAGGATACTTCCAGCTATTATGCATCAGCTAAAGGCAAATACTAGAGGTTTGGGACACTTAAAAATTGTACCATGTTCTAATTGGAGTGCAAAGGTGTGGGACCATAGCAGCAGAGTTGAGAGGCATATTGTCAAGTTACATCAAAGGACCTGTACTTGTCTTGAATGGCAGCACACTGGTAAGCTATGTCAACATGTATTGGCCTATGTAACCCACCAACGGGGAGTTGACCTTGAACAGTTTGTGCATGCCTATTACTCGGTGAATAGATTCAGGGCTGCTTATGGTAGAGAGATTGAGCCGATGACAGACAAAACACAATGGCCACAAGTTGATCTACCATTTTTAGTTGGTGCACCTCTTGCTAAATTACCTATTGGAAGACGAAGAAAACTAAGAAGGAAAGGATGGATGAAAGGTGGCCACAAGAAGAAAGGTTCCAAAGATGGTGAATGTACCAACAAGGGTGAAGGTGAGAAGGGATGTGACAACGATAATGCTCCAGCAAATGGAAATGAAAAGAAGATGATTAGAGGACCTATGACTTACAAAAAATGTGGACAAAAAGGTCACAGACAAGCTAGTGCCAAGTGCCCACTCAATGGGACAGCAAAAAAGCGGTAACTACTGATTTTCATTATCAAGAAATTCGAATGAAAATGTCAATAGTAATTTATTTGTTTACTTGTAGGAAGCGTAGGCAACCTAGGAAGAATGTTACAAAAGCTACGCCAGCAGAACCTAGCACCCCACGGAGGCCGACTAGAGAAGAAATCCTACGAGATAGTCCAGGAAGGGTCACTTGAAGGTAAGGAAAATTGACACATTTACCGTACATTAAATCTTTCCATACATCTAATTGTCGTATCATATTTTATGTGCAGCAAGCTTGCGATGTTATTAGGAGAGGGCACATCTTCACAAACCGACACCACTAGTCCCGTGAGGATGCCTACCGCGGCAGCACCAAAAAAGATGACTCCAAAGAGAAAGCTACACATTGGATGAATTATTTTACTTGTGATGAGATATAAACTCATGCTTTATTTCATATGACTTGGATCTCGTTTGGAACTAAATTGTGGTCTTCTGAGATGAACTTGTTTATGCTACAATCATGGTTTTATGAGATGAGCTCATTTGTTCGCAAGTTGCCTGATCTTTTATTGAAGTATCAGTTGATTTTACTGACCACTTAGATTAGCTTCGAGATATTCATTTTCAGAAATTTGCTCAAATTTACAGACAGAATGCAAATACGATAACCTCTATTACTTGGAAACTAAAGCCAACATTTGGTCAATTATTATTACTGAAAATGTAGACCCTCAAATGAACACAACTAAAGGCCTCTGCTGGCTGTAGTCCTGCACGCCACACCAAACAGGAGTCCCAAACAGAGTCAGTACCAAGCAACCTCGAAACCACCATGAGAAGGGGGACCTCTTTCAGGGCTACTGGCCATACCAGTGGTGGGAAGCAGTCCTCGGCGGCGCGTGCGGCGCGGCACGCAGAAGCCGCCGTGGGTGCTGGTGTCGGAGGCCGTGAGCGTCTTGCAGAACATGTGCGGCATCCGTGCGAGCGGCTTCATGGCAGCCCCGTCCTCATCGTCACGACCCGTGTCCTCATCCTCCCAAACCCAAGCCCACGCCCGCCTCTCCACGTCACTGCCGATGTGCTCGAGGTGGCCCCGCGGCAGGTACAAGACGGCGCTACCCTTGCGCGGCAATGGCGTGATGGGTCCCGCGCACGCGTGCCACAACTCCAAGCACACGGCGCCACCGGCCCTGGCGGCCATAGGCGGCACCTCTGCCTCCGCCTCATCCTCCTCCTCCATGGTGTTGAGGTCAATGCCCGCCATGGCCCTGGTCGGCCGCAGCAGCTGGCTCCACGGAAGGAGCAGACGATGACAACAAAGCGCCAGTGCGGTGAGGGATGGAGCTGAGGAAGTGAGTGAGGAGTATCCGAGTAGGGCAGAAGGGTCACAAGAGGGCCAAAATACATGTATTTTGATTAACAAAGTGAAGAAATACGCGAAATGTCTAAAATAAGAAGCCAACGTTTCAAGGGTCATTTTAACGAAGTCGACGATTAGAGTCCTATAATTGCGAAGCGCATTGTTTGGTGTCCTATAATTGCAATTTTCTCTGCCCCTTGATAAATGCTGAAAGTGAAATTATTCTATGGTGCTAGAATAACATCTAGCAATCATCTGAAAATGTTACTAGTATTAGCATTCTCATCTTGGTAATAATGTAAGTAAAATACTAGCTAAAAACATTGTTCTCCATGTTAATGACTTGTAGACATAAGAACAGATTTGCATGCATATCTAGATTATATACTCCATGTCATTGACTTGTATAAATAGCAAAACTGCATTAAATCAGTGCAACAGCATTTTCAGCAACCTAGGTGTCAGTGCGAAAAGTGACCAACAAGTAAATATTTGTAGTTTTGCTGTATGTTGTGATCGGATGTTGCCTAGCACTCAATGACACAGGGTTTATACTAGTTCAGGCAACGTTCCCTACGTCCAGTCTCAGTCGGTCGGTGACTTTATTCCTGAGCCCAGGTGCTCGAAGTTTGCTGTGGGGTTACAAACGAGTGGGAATAAGATGAGGGGGGTGTCGAAGGTCCGGTCAGACTCTAAACCGAAGGGCCAAGAGTGATGGGAGCTCCAACGTGCGCTAAGTATTGGTACATATGTTCTGTGTAGCTTTTAGAGCTGTAGAGTTCTAAAGCCTAGTAGAGAGAGAATCAGAATCAATCGGTCGTCCTCAATCGTCCCCCTTTTAGGAGAGAGTACATCCCCTTTTATAGGTGAAGGGGACGGCCTTACAAGTTAGGGGGGAGAGAGAGAAAGAAAGTGTGTGTTTCCTGTCTTGTTGCCCACGCCGTCGGGTACAAGACAGTTTGTCGGCGCCCACAATACTGTTGATGCCTAGATGCATGTGGTAGGCTCCATCGTGTTCTTCTGGTATGGCAAATGTCGGTACCTACCATACTGTAGGACAAATGTCGATGCCCACAACACTGTTCGTGTTCTAACATGTCTAGAAGGTTGCAGGGCACCCTTCTAACATGTCCTGGCGGTACTGTTCTATAGGCGTGTAGGGTACGGTCCTCGGTATTACGGTTGAATTTGAGCGCCTTGCCTTATCTGCTCCGCCTGATTCTTGGGTCCTCACCGAGCAGGTGTCCCCGGTCGGTTGTTCCCAGTCGGCTCTGACTGCGCCGGTCGGAGTCAGAACATGTAGGTAGAGGTTCGGTGTATTCTCGATCGGAAAAGCGGGTCAGAGTCGGAAGCGAGCGTCATCCCCTCCTTGGCCAGGCCTTCCGGTCGGAGACTGGATCGCTCTTCCAGCCTACCGTGGGGTTATTCGGGTCGGCCTAGGAGGCGCGCATTGTCGCAACGCCATCTGCTGGGCCGAGCTTTTGCTGGGAAGTGGGCCTATTGGGGACCCTAGGTTTATGAACCCGATAGGAGCCCCCGAGCCCCCGGACGATTCGGGTAGAATCGCCTGGGGGATTTTTCGTTTTGCCAGCGGGTGTGCGCGAGCGCACCCAATGGGTGTAGCCCCCGAGCCCCCAGGCGATTTAGGTAGAATCGCCTGGAGTATTTTTGTCTTGCCAGCGGGTGCGCGCGAGCGCACCCAATGGGTGTAGACCCCGAGCCCCCTGGCGATTTAGGTAGAATCACCTGGGGGATTTTTTGTCTTGCCATCAGGTGCGCGTGAGCGCACCTTGGTGGGCGTAGCTTCTAAGTGAGATCAGACCCCTTGTCGTGGCCCCTTTCTAGGTTCTGAGCCATCGTTTCTAGGAGCGCAGACCTAGGCGTCGGGCGCGGTCGAGGGATCGGGTGAGTTAGAGTCGCCAACCAAGGCGTCGGGCGTGCGCCAAGGGATCGGGCGAGTCGGAGTCGCCAACCAAGGCATTGGGCGCCAAGGGGTTGGGTGAGTTGGAGTCATGGACTCAGGTGTCGGGCGCCACCGAGGTAACGGGCGAGTCAGAGTCTCCAACCAAGGCGTCGGGCGTGCCGAGGGGTTGGGCGAGTCAGAGTCGTGGACCCAGGCATCGGGCGCGGCCAAGGGATCGAGCGAGTTACAGTCACCAACCAAGGCATCTAGAGTCGCCAACCAAGGCATGGACCCCGGCGTCGGGCGTGGCTGAGAGATCGAGCGAGTCGGAGTCGCCAACCAAGGCGTCTGGAGTTGCCAACCAAGGCATTGGGCGAGTTGGAGTCGCAGACCCAGGCGCCGGCGTAGGGACCGGGCGAGTCGGAGTCACCAACCAAGGCGTCTGGAGTCGCCAACCAATGTGTCAGCGCGCCGAGGGGTTGGGCGAGTCAGAGTCGCGGATCCAGGTGTCGAGCATGGCGTAGGGATCGAGCGAGTCGGAGTCACCAACCAAGGCATCTGGAGTCACCAACCAAGGCGTTGATCGTGTCGAGGGGTTGGGCAAGTCGGACTCATGGACCCAGGCAAAGGGCGCAGGGACTGGGTGAGTCAGAGTCGCCAACCATGGCGTTTGGGTGCGCCAAGGGGTTGGTCTAGTTTTGTGCATTACCCCATCCGCGGTTTCCGCAACCGAAGGGGCTGAGCTAACGTCGCTTGCCTCGATGTCTCGGGTGACGTGCTCGGTGAGCTCTCTAACGGGTATGTTCAAGTGGAATCGGGTCCGTTGTTTCGTAACGGGGTCGACATAGCCCTCATGTGGCATTCCACTGCTCCTTAACCCGCCTCCCGGTAGATGCCTCAGCCATTCCGGAGACCGACTCAGGTGGCCCGCTAGCCTCCCCTCCATGGAGATTCTGTGGGCATGGCTCGAGGTTAGGATCGGACGAGAAGGTCGAGATGACCCTGTCTGCTTCTGAGTAGATCAGGCGAGGGCCGCTGGGGCTCATCTGCGTTTTTCTCCCCTGGCTCTGTTAGACGCGAGGCGGCCTCGAGCCCTTCGCGGGCCAGCCTTTGAACCCCGATCGATCGTCGCTCATGTTGAATGAGGCGACTACCGCTTTGTGACGCAACACGAAGCGTTGTGATGCATCAATTTGCATATGCAATGCTTTGGATGTATGAGATGAATGAATAATTAAATGGATGAATGTGTGAATGTATGAGAAAGGATGAATGAATGATTGTATGGATGAATGTGTGAATGTATGAGAAAGGATGAATGAATGATTGTATGGGTGAAAATAAAATAAAGTAAGAAGGTTTGGTAAAGTTACCTTGATGATTCGAGTGACAGGTTTGAGGAGCTCTTATCAGATATGTCCGAATGGGATCCATGTCCATCGTTTGTGACAGAGCTGGTATAGCCCACATGGGGCATCCCTCTGCTCCTTACCTGTCTCTCGATAGTCGCCTGAGCCGTCCGATCGACTCAGGCAGCCCATCCGTCTCTCTTCGATGGAGATCCTGTTGTTGCGCCCTTCCAAGCCCTACATGGGAAGGCGGAGGGCCATTTGCGTGTGGTTGCACCTTGTTTACTGCGCCTGGGTTGCGGTAGTGGTGGGCCATGCCCAGGCCACGTCCCGTTTAACCAGGCATCATTTCGTTGGGCAGAGAGAGTCCCATCAGTCAGGACGCGTCCCCCCGCATGCCTGCCCGCATTAAATAGGGGGAAGGGAGAGGATTTTCCTCCCATTCTTTCGCCTTTCTCCAACTGCTGCCTCTCCTCCTTCTTCCTTTTCACCAAGCCCGTTCGTGCGCCGTGGTGGTTCCCAGGAGAGAGAGGGTAAAGCAAAGGAGAGGAGAACCCACATATTCATTCGTGAATTCGGGGCACGATGTTGAATTGGAGGCCATCCAATGTAGACGAGACGATGCTGGCTGCCTTCGCCGAGAAGGGGCCGCCGCCGCCGAAGGAGGTGGTGCATTAGAGGGCTACTGTGCTAGGGGAAGCTATTCATGACCTCGGGCCGATGAGGTTGTCTCCTTCCTCACCTTCCACGAGCGCGGGCTAGGATATCCCATGCTCTGGTTCTTGCGCGTGCTCCTCAACGAGTGGGGCCTGGAGCTACAGCACCTCAATTCGACTGGGGTGCTACACATTGCCAGCTTTGTCACCATCTGCGAGGCCTTCCTCGGGATGGAGCCGCACGTGGACCTCTTCCGGCGGATCTTCACTGGGCGAGCCTTGTCGGAGGGGAAGCCACCAAGAACCGCGCCGGTTGGGGGCTTCGCCTTGTAGAAGAAGTCGAGGCCATCGGGCTCCTACCCCGCGTACTCCCCCCTGTGACTCTAATTGGGGGTGGCATGGGGCATGGTTCTACATCAGGAACCCAGCAGAGGCGCCATTCCCACCGTTCACCAGAAGAAGGCTGGAGAGGGGAGACCTGGTCATGGGGTCCCTCCAGTCGGTAGAACAAGCTGGAAGTCATCGAGGCGGAGCTCCAGAAGCTGGTGCAACATGACCTCGATGGGCTACGGGTGTTCGACACCTTCTTCTGCCGTTGGGTCACCCCGTTGGCAGAGAGGAGGCGGTGGATTCGGATTTACTCTGGCCTAATGGATCCCGACCGTGCGTCGTTGGAGGAGTTGCCGAAGGACGACGTCTAGAGCTGACTCGACCGGGTGCTGCAACTGAGGGATAAGGAGTCCCTTGAAGGAAAGCTCGGACCTCTCCACGCCATGAAGCTATCCAATCTGGTATGCTCCCCTCTAATTATTCCATGTCCTTTTCCCTTTTGCTTCTCCTGTATTTTGACTTTGAGTCGTTCATTTTGTAGGGACTCTTTCGAGGGGTTACAAGTCCTGGCCGCATCTTTCGAGGGGGACGGAGGGCGCAGCTCGGCAAGCCGCTCTGAAAGAGGCAGCGGTTGCCAAAAAGAAGAAGAGAGCTGAGAAGCCCCGG